CATAAGAAATATTAGAATTAGATATGAACTGTAAGCCGAACTCGGTCAATTCTTTTGGCAGATGAAGATTTGCAATGAAGTTGAGAGCACATAAATATTTGGGATAGATGGTGGTATAGCGTTTCAGCTTTCTGATTTTTAATACATAAAAGAAGTGATCAGATAATATAAATGATTATAAAATAAATCAGTTAAGCAAGACCAAGTCTTAATCAATTTTTAAAGAGATAAACAAATTTTCTTACAGGAACTGAGAAGAAATAGAAATAATTTCACAAAAATAAATTCTGAATATAAATTCCTTAAGTATTTTAAGTATTTATAATTAAGCCATTGCTCTATTAAGTTGTTTGAAATGTTAATCCTAGTGTCATGTAACTTATGAATAATGTTTAGAATATTGTTATTAGTATTCTTTTAGTCTAACATTCCAAATCTTTTTGTAATGCAACATTGTTTCTAACTGAAGATTGACAGAATGATCTTATGAAATTTTCAACAAAGTTTGCTAGTGAATAAGTATTCAACCTAAACTTAAGTTTGCCAAGGTTCAACCGCTAGGTGCAGGTTGATTTTCAACTTCTGGGCGTTCTGGATTTAGATCCTTGTTTGTTCACAGATCTGTGATGCTTCAGCATCTAGTCAATGAAAACCAAAAGATCTTTCCACAAGCCATTCAGTGACACTAAGCCACCAAAGCATTTCAAAGGTGGTGAATTTATTAGCATTTCGGCTGTGTAGGTGAATTTAGACACATTTAAAAGCTGTGCTAGTTATCGATCTTAGTAGGTGATGGATTAATAAGGATTCTCTGAAAACTGACTTTCGTGCCTTGATTATTCAGAAGAATTTTCTACTGATATACAAGTTGATTACACAAAGGTTCTTTTTCTCTCTTATGCTACAAGATTCCTTGATTCTATTCTGAGTAATTTCTTAGCTATGGTTCATAAATTCATATTTATTCTCAATTTACCCAAGGAGCCAAAGTCTTACCTCTTGAAATGAAAAATCGTTGCAGAGTAAGACAGTCAAGGTTGTTGTGATTTTATAGCTGCTACAATGTTTCTTACTCTCATTGTTTTTTGTTGCAGACAAGTCTCTGAAGAGGCTCTCCAATCAACTGTGAATTCAAATCACCAGGGATCTACGAGCTCATTCTCAGGTGAATAAGGAACAGTCCAATTTACACAAACGCAATTACTTTTCAACAACTGTCAATCTCCAAGATTTCTTTTTGAAAGGTATTAGTGCACATTCAATTTATAGTTATGGAAAGTACATGATAACAAACATTCTCAGGTAAATATTCATTTTAAGTTAATTTACATTTCAGGTTAGAGGCTTTGAAACCAAAAATAAATATGAATTACTCTGGCTTCTGTCATTCAGGGTCCATTTATTTTATTATTGGTTAGTGATGATTGATATAAGTACCTAGGAGGTACTTCAGTGAATGTATGGAGGAATGAGATGTGCAGTCAAATGTTACATAACAATTATTTAAGGTATGTACAGTTTTGTTGCCAAATGTATGAAATACTGTTATATAGAGAATTGAGAATGGAAAAAGTTATGGTTGATTTCCAGGTAAGAAATAACGTCTCATAATTCCTACCTCAGACAGGCCACAGCTGCTTTTCACTTAAGTGTTAAAATGGGGAATAGTAGAAACAGTGATCTGGGTCCTGAAGAATCATCCAACTCTCCAAAATTTTGTGCTGAACCCTTTTCACCACCTCACACAAGTGGTTGATCCCTGAGCATTAATCAACTCTCATTCGAAGCATTTGCTATCTCTACTGGCAGATGGGAGGCACAGGAGGAGAATCAATGGAAGTTCACTTGCTAGGCAGTCTGGAGTACAGAGCAGAACAAGAGAGATGACATCTCAAAAACTTGGAAGTTCAGAGCTGAAACCCCAAGTTGTCCTCTAACCTCCACATGTATATTGTGGCATGCATCCACCCAAACTCACATGAAAACACACACAGACACATACAGACACACACACACACAACCATTTCATCATAGCACACAGAAAATATTTAAAAGAAAGGAAGAAGAAAGAAAGACGTAACAAAATGCTTCCTCTTTCTCCTCCCTCTTTCTCCTCTCTCTCTCTCTCTCTCTCTCTATCTCTCTCTCTCCCCCTTTAGATGGTCTCATGTAATCCAGGTTGACTTCCATTTGATCTGTATGCAAGTATAACCTTTAACTTATGATCATCATGCCTCTATCTCCAGAGTGCTAGGACTGCAGATACTGTCCCCTTTGATCTTAAGTTATATGAACTTGAGAAACAAGTCTCCTGCAACAGAAACAACTGACAGATGATGTTGAGATAGATTTGGAAGGTGACACTAAATGCTCTCATTTATTAATGGGAAATCAGAGTAACCACTAGTCAATAGCATAATGGGACTCTTTAGTCCCAGCAGTTTGGGAGGTAGAGGCAGGTAGATCTCTGTGGGTTCCAGGCCAGCTGGGGCCACAGGGAGACCCTGATTCAAAAAAGACCAAAATAAAGTAAATAAATAAATAAATAAATGAAGAAAGAAAGAAAGAAAGAAAGAAAGAAAGAAAGAAAGAAAGAAAGAAAGAAAGAAAGAAAGAAAAATTGACAGTCAAACTCTGCTAGGTTGTGTACTTATGTACTTAATACTTGTCATATGCATTTCTCTCTTTCCTCTTTCTCTCTCATCCCTCTTTCTCCTCTCTCTCTGTCTCTCTCTTTCTCCCCCCCCCCTCTCTTTCTCCCTTTAGATGGTCTCATGTGATCCAGGTTGACTTCCATTTGATCTGTATGCAAGTATAACCTTTAACTTATGATCATCACGCCCCTATCTCCAGAGTGCTAGCACTGCAGATACTGTCCCCTTTTTTTATGAACTAAAGAAACAAGTCTCCTTCACCAGACACAACTGACAGATGATGTTGAGATATATTTGGAAGGTGACACTAAATGCTCTCATTTATTAATGGGAAATCAGAGTAACCACTAGTCCATAGCGTGATGAGACTTTTTCTGGAGGCTTGTTAAGAAACATCTACTTATTCCAAAAATGGCATTGACAATAGACAAAGAAACAAGTCCATGCCTTCCTGGTTTAGGGGATTTATTGAGGTTCCTTACAGTAGCATAGGTGAGGGGTTAATTACAGGAGCATAGGTCACTCAAAGCCAACTGCATCACACCCCATCCTAGCATGAGTGATGCCTCAGGAGGATTGAATCCCTTGGGTTCCCAGGGATTCACAGCTTGGCCAGTGAATCTTCTCTCCTCTACAAATATTCTTGCTTAGCCAATATTGGAGAAGGGCCTTATGAATTTTGTTTCAGAAGTTTTCTGAACACTATAACTTATGAATACATCCTAAGCTTTGAAGCATTGTTTTATTTCTTGAGATTTATGAGCCTCTTTTTTTTCAATCTTAAGTTATATGAACTTGAGAAACAAGTCTCCTGCAACAGAAACAACTGACAGATGATGTTGAGATAGATTTGGAAGGTGACACTAAATGCTCTCATTTATTAATGGGAAATCAGAGTAACCACTAGTCAATAGCATAATGGGACTTTTTCTGGAGGCTTGTTAAGAAACATCTACTTATTCCAAAAATGGCATTGAAAATAGACAAAGAAACAAGTCCATGCCTTCCTGGTTTAGGGGGATTTATTGAGGTTCCTTACAGTAGCATAGGTCACTCAAAGCCAATTGCATCACACCCCATCCTAGCACGAGTGATGACTCAGGAGGATTGAATCCCTTGGGTTCCCAGGGATTCACAGCTTGGCCAGTTAATCTTCTCTCCTCTACAAATATTCTTGCTTAGCAAATATTGGAGAAGGGCCTTATGAATTTTGTTTCAGAAGTTTTCTGAACACTGTACAGTAGCATAGGTCACTCAAAGCCAATTGCATCACACCCCATCCTAGCACGAGTGATGACTCAGGAGGATTGAATCCCTTGGGTTCCCAGGGATTCACAGCTTGGCCAGTTAATCTTCTCTCCTCTACAAATATTCTTGCTTAGCAAATATTGGAGAAGGGCCTTATGAATTTTGTTTCAGAAGTTTTCTGAACACTGTAACTTATGAATACATCCTAAGCTTTGAAGCATTGTTTTATTTCT